TCATATTAATTAGCAGCTAAAGAAGGTTATTAACTTTATATGATAAATATTCAAGATGAGCTAAAGAAGGTTATTAACTTTATATGATAAATATTCAAGATGGAAAGTAAAATAGAAAAGAAAACAAGGATTGAGTTTCTGTTTTATTTAATTAGAGAGAGAATAGAAAAAAAGAACTTTATTATTCTATTGTTACTTTCCCCTTTCTTTTCTTTTCTTTCTTTCTTTCTTTTTCTCTTCTCAAAACCCTTTGGTCGCCTAGGCGGGTGCCTAGTTGCTAAAAGTCAAGGCGTTTGGGCGAGGTGCCCAGCCAAGGGCGCCTAGTCACCTAGGTGACGCCTAGGCAACGCCTTGACAACTATGCTGATGTTTGGGGCCCTGTTGCTTTACCATCTAAGAGTGGCTACAAGTATTTTATTACCATTATTGATGATTATTCTAGATATACATGGGTATATTCCATGCGAACTAGGGATGAAGTACAAAAAATTATCCAATATTTTCAGCGGATGATCTTCACCCAATTTCAAACTGAAACCCAAATCTTTCAATCAGATAATGGCAAAGAATATTTTCATAGTGATCTCACGGAATTTTTTGCTTCACCTTGTTCACTTCACCGTAGCTCTTGTGCCCGAACACCACAACAAAATGGTGTTGCTGAAAGAAAGAACCGACACCTCCTTGAAGTGGCCCGGGGTTTACTAATTCATATGAATGTCCCGAAACGTTTTTGGCTCGAGGCTGTCCTTTGTGCTACCTATCTCATCAATCGTATGCCCTCTCGTTGGCTAGAGTGCAAAGCCCCACATCGGCTTCTTTTTCCTAAGGCTCCCCTTCTTTCCATTCCTCCTCGTGTGTTTGGTTGTCGTTGTTTTGTTCAAAATTTGTCACCCATTCGTGGAAAATTAAACCCTCGTGCTATTCCTTGAATCTTCTTGGGGTATTCTTTCACTCAGAAGGGATATCGTTGCTTTGATCCTGTTTCTCGAAAGTTTTATGTTTCCATGGATGTCTCTTTCTTCGAGAGTGAGCCTTTTTTCCCTGTTTCTCCTCAGGGGGAGTGTAGGAATGAGGAGAAACTGGTTCTACGCCCTCCTCTTTCTGACCCTCCTCATTTTCGTGTCTTCTTTCGCCGTCACAAAGGCCAACCATGTTCAAGAGTTGTGGAGAACCTAGAAGCTGTACCTCCAATGCCATCAAACTCTCTGGGGGCGGATCATACCCACTTAGTTATCTTGGTTCCTATCGATGTTCCTGACTCTATTGCTATTGATACTTTTGTTGCTAATGACCTTGACCTTCCTATTGCTCACTGGAAAGGTGTTAGTTCTTGCACCACTAAACACCCCATTTCTCACTTTGTTTCCTATGAAAACATTTCACCTTCTTTTGGCCTTTCTCACTTCCATTGATAGTGTTTCTATCCCTAAGAATGTGGCAGAAGCTCTTTTGGTGCCTGAATGGACAAATGCTATGAAAGAGGAAATTAATGCTCTACATAAAAATGACACATGGGAACTAGTAGATCTTCCTAAGGTAAAGGATCTAGTTGGATGTAAATGGGTTTTCACAGTCAAACATAGGGCTGATGGCATGGTGGGGCAGTATAAAGCTCATTTAGTGGCAAAGGGGTTTACACAAGTGTATGAAGTTGATTATGTAGAAACATTTGCACCCGTTGCCAATATGAACTCCATTAGAGTCGTTTTCTCCCTTGCTGCTAATCTTGACTGGGATCTGCATCAGCTCGACATCAAGAATGCCTTCCTGAATGGTGACCTTGAAGAGGAAGTTTACATGGTACAACCCCCTGGTTTTCGGGTCCAAGGTAATGAATAGAAAGTGTGCAGGTTAAAGAAATCATTGTATGGGCTAAAACAATCATCGAGGGCCTAGTTTAGCAGGTTCCATGCGGCGGTTCAACAGAAAGGATACAAGCAGTGTCAATTTGATCACACATTGTTTGTGAAAAGAGGGGAAGGGAAAATTGCAGCACTGATAGTATATGTTGATGATATAATTATCACTGGCGATTGGAAGGATGAAATTCAAAAGTTGAAGATTTTTCTTGCTACACAATTTGAAGTAAAGGATCTAGGTCCTCTAAGGTACTTCCTTGGAATTGAATTTGCCCACTCACAAAAGGGTATCTTCATTTCTCAAAGAAAGTATGTCCTAGATCTACTCCAGGATACAGGAAAATTGGGAGTGAAGCCAGTTGACTCCCCTATTGATCCTAACCACAAATTAGGTGACCGCCAAGGTGAACCTATCAAGGATGTGAAACAGTTTTAGAGATTTATAGGAAGATTGTTATATCTTTCTATGACCCGTCCCAACATTGCTTATGCAGTGGGTGTTCTTAGCCAGTTCATGCATGCTCCTAAGACCACTCATCTTGAAGCAGCAGAAAGAGTTCTCAGATATCTTAAGAAGTTCCCAGGTGCAGGCTTGTTGTTTCAAAAGCACGAGCATTTGAAAGTTGAAGTGTACATTGATGCAGATTGGGTAGGATCCCTGAATGACAAAAAGTCAACTAGTGGCTACTATACCTTTATAGGAGGAAATCTAGTTACCTGGAGAAGCAAAAAGCAGAATGTGGTAGCTAGATCTAGTGCTGAAGCTGAATATCGGGCAATGGCTCATGGAGTGGCTGAAATTATGTGGCTAAAGAATTTGTTGATTGAGTTGGGTTTTCCAATGGATAGACCTGTGACCCTATTTTGTGATAACAAAGCAGCCATAAACATTGCTGCTAATCCAGTGCTACATGATAGAACTAAACATATTGAAATCGACACACTTTATCAGAGAAAAGGTTGTCACAGGGGAATTGTGTACTCCTTATGTTAGCTCTAAAGATCAACTTGCAGACATCTTTACAAAAGGGCTACACCACTCTCGGCATCATGATTTATGTGACAAGTTGGGCATGATTGACATCTATGTCCCAATTTGAGGGGGGAGTGTTAAAAGCTGTTATTTATTTAAGTATAGTACCGCAGGGGTACTATTGTAATTCTACTCTTATTTTTTAGTTGTTGTCGCCCTAGTATATGTACAAACAAGCTGGCACCACCAGCTATCTTTTGGCTCTCAAATCTTTTTTCTCTCTTTTTTCTTCCTCTCTTCTTCTCTCCTGCATCACAGCACTGATAACACTGTTCAAGGGATAGCTGCTCTTCTGCATCTCCATAAGATCTTTCCTCTCTTCCTAGGTGGGGAGAAGAAAATGTTCAGGAAGATGCTTCCCAACTCGGAAGGATTTGCCTGCACCCAAAAAGAGAAAAGAACCCCAAATACCAATTAAAAATGAATAGGAGATTAGCAAATAAGAGGTAGTTTTTCCACATGTTTTACAAAGAAGACAGATATGTGGTGGCAAAAACCAGTTTGGACTCCTTCAAATTCTCACGAGTGTTGATCTACTAATACCTCATATCCCAACAAAAAGCTTGAATTTTGGGTGGAAATGGTCCTTGCCAAATTGCTTCAAGAGGAAATGTGGTTGGAGAGTCAAGAGTGGTGATTGTAAGTAAGGGCTTTGAAGAAAGGAGTAAGAGAATAACCATTGCGATAGACCATCCAAATTCTACTATCATCCCTAAAGGTACAAGGAATACATGTTTGTACATGTGGGTGTGTTAGGGGTGATGGGTATGAGTTGTTGCTTCTCTTGGGTGATTCCTTATCACATTTCTTGTACTTTCTTTTTTATTTTTAATAAAAATTTTCTTTTACTTAAAAGAAAAGGCACTTACCATCTCCATGGAAAACAAGGTTTCATGTTCAGTCAAGCCTCTCAACACTACTATCATTTTCTTCCAGATTCCTTGGAAAGTATTAATATTTTAGCTCCAGAAAATATGGACGAACTATCCTATAATAACCACATGATGAAAATGGGATGGAGCTGGATCGATGTTAGTGACTCTGTAAAGCACTTGCAGAAGCCTTATGACCATACACTAAGCCTTGATAGACCAAGTTTAAGACTACCCAAGACTGAGCACCAACCAATCTCTAATCAATATCCAACTCAATTTGTCCAATAAGGTCGCCATGTTTAAACAATGGAAAGAGTAGAAAGGTTTGGTAACAACAATAGGTCAAAGACTCCAACAAAATACTATAAAAACTCCTTTTGAACTTCAAATAATGGGATAAAAACTGTCATTAGGGGGGTTTATCTACAAATTTAACTAGGGTGCCTGACTACTAATACCAGTTCCACTCTCTCTGGCCTAGAACCAGCACAGGAATCTCCTTTCTTCACATCCATATGATATCCTAAACTCAAAAGGCAAAGATGTACAGCAATTACAAGTATGAGTTTATGACAGTAAGGTATTTTTTGAGTCCTTTATGGTGCAAATTTTGAAATTTATCAGCTGTTTGAACTTGTCATAGTTCTCTGTCTAAAAACAATACCCAGATGCCCTTGGAATTTTGTGGGTTATGTCATTATGATACTATCTCTGATGGATATAATAGCAATTGCTAAAATCATGCATTTGCTTTCTTTGAGAGCCCTAAACTTTCTCAGGACTGGATGGCATAGGATTTCATCCTATCCATTTTAAATATTTTTTCCTAAGAAGTATTTTTCTTGTTATTTGATGCTTGGCTACAATTCTAGCTAGAAAATCCTTTTGAAGGTTTATACTTATGTCTAGAAGCAATGTCTAGATGTTCTTGGACTTGGGTTATGAATTATGATACTGTCTCTGATGGCTATAATAGCCATTACTAAAGTCATGCATTTGCTTTCTTTGAAACCTCTGAACTTGCTCAGGTGGATTGGACTGCCTAGGATTTTGACATCCTATCCAGTTTAAATATTTTTTCCTAAGCAGTATTTTTCTAGTTGTTGTGATGCTTGGCTACAATTCCAGCTAGGAAACCCTTATGAGGGTTTATAACTGCATGTAGTTCATTGCAATGCCCTACTATTATCTCAACGAGATCTTTTCATTCTTTGGTTCTCATTTTCCCAGATGGGGATAGCAGATGCTATTTTGGACCTTGTAAGTAGTGGAACAACATTGCGTGAAAATAATCTGAAGGAAATTGAAGGTGGAGTAGTCGTACAAAGCCAGGTAAAACTCTTTTGCCTTTGCAATGATATGTTGTTGTTGAGGAGGTGGTTTTGTATTTCCACTGTCTGCACAGTTTTCTACACCTATTATGAGTTTTTCTTGTGTTTTTTTTTTTTTTTTTTTTCTTTTTCCTCACAAATGGACTTTTTGCAGGCTGTTCTTGTAGCAAGCAGGAAATCTCTGATCCAGCGTGAAGGTGTTTTGGACACTACACATGAGATTCTTGAAAGACTAGAGGCACATTTGAGGGCAAGCTATCAATTCACGGTAGGCATCTTTTGTTGCATGTGTGTGATATTTCTTTCCTCTACAAATTGTTGTCTATTTACAAATATAATTGTAGGTAGTTGCAAACATGAGAGGAAATAGTGCAGAGGAAGTGGCTGAGAGGGTTCTAAGTCAGGCATCGTTATCTGGGTTACAGGTTAGGCTTCACATTGAAGTTTCTGCATTTCAATTTTGCACCTAGAATTCATAATGCATTTTCTGTCTGCCTGTCTGCCCACCTGTTTCTTTCTTTCTCTTACATCGATTTTTCTGTCTGTCTCAAAAACTGATTGGAAACAGGAAATCAAGCCTTGAAATGTGAACCCACTGAACCAACTAGAATGCATAACCCAATTGCAAGGCACACAAGCAAATTTGTAGAATTTTATCTAGAGAATGGCCAAAAAAGTTCAGATCCCTTGTTCTATGGTGGTATTACCACTGTAGGGAACTTCATGGAACCCACATGGGATATGTTAGTTTCCTTTTCATTATGTCTCAGAGAAGCATCTTTTGTTAGTTATTCCTTTATTAAGAATAGGAACTTGGGAATTCTTTTATTTATTTATTTATTTTGATAAATAACAGAAATCAATTCATTAATCAGAAGGAAACACCAGCTGCTCAAAACAAATGGGCAGCGGGTCAAAAAGAAATAATAATTCCTTTATTATGTTTATAAGTTCTCTTAAGGTTGGAATTGCGAGAGATTGAATGTTGAAATTGCCTCCAATCATTTCTATACGTCTGATTCTAAGCCTTGTAAAATGATGCATAATTTATTTTGTATTTGATCAGCAAATTATGTATCGTTTATGGAATAAAAGTTTCTAGTATATTTGCTTTTTTGTGTGATGCAACTCCATTAACTTTTAATCTATGAACACATGTTGATGTCACCAAGTGAATGGGCTACTATTGCCATATCTGCCCACACAGAGACAGCAATAGATATGGACATCACCAGGTGAGGACACTTACAGATTGAATTTTGATGGCTGCTCCCTAGGAAGCCTGGGGCTGTTATGCTTGCAGAGAAGGTAATGGTATGATATGATTCTAGATTATCGGCGAAATGACCCAACACAATTAGGGGCTTCAAGGAGGTAATGATGCCACACTACTGAAGGAGCTTTATTGGTGAAATGACCCAGGAGTTATAAGACTTTTTGAAAGTCAGCCTTCGCAGTCCCATAGAGAGGGTGAGAGGGTGAGAGGGCGAAACAAAGAGAGGGTTGGTGAGAGGGTGAGGAACTGAGATGGGAGAATTTGTGGAGGTAGGCCGTTCGAAAAAAGTTTTGAAGATTGAATCTGAGGAGCTCCTATTTGAGGAACTGAGATTAAATGGTCAGCTGAGCTTGAAAATCAGGGAAGCAAAGAGAGGGATGGTGTTGTTAGAAGGTTTGGGGGTAATTGAAGGGCTCAAGGAGTTTGTGGAAGGTGCAAGTAACAAAGGCAAGCAAAATAGTTGGAAAGAGCTTCTCTCAGAAACTGGAAGAAGGTTTGTAGTAGAGTGTAAAAG